ATGTGTCGTCCTGAAAACTAGGATAACATTTTAGTGCAGTCTCGAAACCATCATATTCAAGGTGGCTCGTTTTAACTAAAATGCATTGTTTAGTAGAAGTACAACCCTTCAACAACCCTTGAAAGTGAACATTGTCCTCACAAACTTTAATGAGAAATTTCACCTTTGAACTCGATTAAACAAAGGATATTCACTTGACCCTAAAAAAAATCAATCCAGTTCTATTTCTGCCAAGCTTGTTCCTTTCCTCTCATCCACTTTGTTGTCAACTCTCTACTTCGTTCTGACAAAAAATACATTGGAACGTTCCAGAAAAGTGAACTCACTTCACAAACAAAATAATATAATTCGTGCTTTATCCTTTGTAAGGTTGCATTATAAAAGAATATGCGAGTATGCGAACTTCAGGAAGGGAATTGTAGGAACATTCTAGAATTTTTTTATGAGATGTTGATGTATTCTGATCCAGAATGCTTCTGCTTCTCAAGTTCGTTGAAGTTTCATAAATGGAGCTCGAAATTGCCGAGGAAACATTACGATGTGGGTTGGTATTCATTTCAGAGTTATATGAAATTATAAACTCAAGCCTTATTCCAAATTGAGTGCTGAATATACAAGGTGGGTCGTTCGAAATTTCAGGGGATGTTATCAAGGTTCCAATTAAACTTTTGTGAAAGTAGAATCTCTGGGAGTTACTACATATGTTCTTTCTGGCATTTATGAGTTTTCACTCACCTGGAATCAAACGAAATTAAAAATTGATTGAATGAGAAGGCAAATTCCTAAATTTGTCCAGAAATGTTACTGCGTTCGGATAAAGATTCATAATGGATTCATCCAACTTGTCAGTATTACTTCATACTTCAATGAACAAAATATATAAAAATTCAAAATTCATACTTACTATAGATGACGTTTCGTAAATCAACTTTGTTCCCTTTCTCGAATCTCGAAGTTGCGGCCCTGATCCGAGTGAAGTTCTTAAGGTACTCCGTGTCTGGCAAAAACGTTCTGCAAAAGGGCTTCTGCCACCGTTTTAGCCTCTTGGTTGGTTAAGGCTACTACTTCAGGCCATTTGGAGAAGTAGTCCATCACAACCATAAGGTACTTGTTACCGGATGTGGTCATAGGGAGTGGTTTCAAAATGTCGACTGCGATTCTCTCGAACGGGCACCCACTGATGTACTGCCTCAACTTTCCTTTTTGTCTTGTCTTCAGACCCTTTCTCGAAGAGCACAGGTCACAGCGCTTACACCACTCTTCCACGTCTCGACAGCAAATGACCCAATAGTACCTCTCACGCACTCTCTCTAGAGTTCTATTTACTCTGAAATGCCCTTCAGTGCGACCATCATCAAGCTGTTCGAGGATACTCGGGATACACGTCTTAAGAAAGATAATCTGGAATTTGTGAGTTCTTCCATTCGGGCTTTCTCATTTCCGAGTGAGTAGGTCATCTCGAATGCTCATGGAGTCCCATTGGAGCCAGTAACCCTTTTCCTGCTGGCTGTGGTTGGAAATATCCATTCTCGTACAGTTTTCGAGACGGGATCCTCCTGCTGCCCTACGATGATATCTTGACTCGTCAGGACCGTACCACACCATGGTCAGGTGATTCCTCAAATTGTCGGTCCATATTCCTGGACAAGGAGCCCTTACATGTTGCTACTCTCCGGGTCAGAGGGAATCCGAAGCGGTGGGAGGTAGGGGAACTTATCTCCCTATCAGAGCTGTCCATAAAGGAGTCTCTGCCTGCTACCTCATCACGTCTGGTGGGAAGTTCTTCTTCTAGTAGCTGGGTATCCTTGTTACCCTGGCGTTGGCAAAATTTGCATCCGGATGTCAGACATGGTCTTCTTGAGAGGCTGTCTGCGTTTTCGTGACTCTTTCCTTTCCGATGTTTCCGGAAAACCTCTTCAAATATATTTTCGACTCCTCCAAGCTTCTTTTCAAATTTCCTTCGGACTCTTTCAGGCTCCTCTTCAAGTTTCCTTTCAACCCCATCATACTACTTTTCGAATCCCTCCTTTGTTTCCCTAAATAATTTTTCAAATTCTTCCTGAATCAATTCCAGTACCTTCCGTTTACCCACTTGCGAAGATTTTAATTCTTCAAATGAATGAAGATACATCTTGTCTGTTTCTCCTGAATATTTACCAATATTTCACGATATTTCTCTCTGTTCTTTTTTGTTTTTTCAGAATAATTAGTAATAATACACGGTCTTCATTTCGGCGTAATTGTTCTTCCTCTCTCCTACGTTCCTCGCTTCCTCTCTTGTGCGTGCACCTTCTTCTCTTCTGCGATTTTCAATCTCCGACAGGCTCGCTAGCAAAGCCTTGAACATTTTCTCAAGTTCGCCGTAATCGACACTCATTGTGTTCACCATAAATCAGTAAATTTTCAGTCAATAATTCAACTTCCGACACCAAATGTTACGTTTTTCCCCGTTCACCAACAATTGACTACACTGAATCAAACTCAACTTTATTTCACTTTGAATACAACAAACACTTCAACTAAAACTTCAACTATTATTTGAATGTCTATCGTCTTACTAAATCACTTGACTGTCTCTATATCCTCGTAGCTAGCCTTTATATATCATTATTCTCGCTGCTTCTAGAGTGGCGGGGAATCATCGTACATTCGCGCGCTCTTAGCTACGTCACGTTTGGTTTATGGTTACCAGTGGTAGCCGGCGTTATTTTCTTTCAGGCATGATTTACAGCAGTAATAACAAATATTCAGATTATTTTGAAATACGTGTTTATAGAAAGGAAACACTTACTAATAGTTATTCAAGTACTGATGTCATCAATAAAACAATATTCTGAAACGAAATTGCCTTCATTAAAAATGTTTTTGGGAATTATGATCATCCCAGAAATCTTATTATTGAGACAATGGTATCAACTATAAACATTTCTAGTTAATTTCTAAAAGGATGATATTTTACTCTCCTGGTCTTCACTGGAAAATAAGACGAGTTTGTTGAAAATTCAACGTCCGTATGATTTTCAAAACTCAAAATCATGTAAGGTCTTCATTAAATCAAACAAGATTGGCAAATGAGGACAAAAAATCAGAAAATTGTGTTTACTGAGTTCAGTGCATTTGTAGTCAGACTTATAACGATGGAACTTCGTTAATTTCGAAAATGGGAAAATCTGAAAACCAGAATAATGTAAGGAACTGAAACATAAGGAAATTCAAATCAGCAGATCATATTCTGACAAGATATGGTGACAAAACTCAACGGAACGAAACGTTTGGGTATTTTCTGAGGATTTGAGAAAGGAAACAGAGTCGATTTCCGAAACGTCATCCAAAGGAAGTATGTTTCCATTTGAAATCAATATATTTTTTATTGAAAAGTGTTACTGATGACAAGTTGGATAAATCCATTCTGAATTTGTATTACAACGCAGTAATATTTATGGAAGAATTTAGTAATTTGCCCTTCTCATTCGATTATTTCGAAATTTTGTTTGATTCCAATTGATATGAAATAATGAGAATAATGTTTTCAAACTATAATGGCTACCTGGTATTCTTTCTCGAATACTTCTGAAAGCTTTATATTTATCATTACATCATCATTACTCGATTCTTTCAAACGAAAATTCATTAAATGCAAAATTCATATACGAAGTTCAAAGTAATCCATTTAAATGTGAGCATATGACACACTTTCACGGGTACATGAGGTGTAATTTTATAACACGAATCCATTCAGTATTTGTGATTATTTCTCTGGCATATTTCTTCACAGAAAAAGTAAAATTAACCAAATTGAATTCTATTCAATATTCAATTATTCAAAACGAAACGCTTTTGAACAGAAGAATAACATCTTTTCCCCAAACAATAGTACTCGTAAAACGACACCAAAAATGTATGACAGAATTTGAACCAATGTGGTTGCAGCTGGATTCGTAAATCAACAACTGACTATTATCAATCTTAAAAATTCTTATGGAACTTGCATTCAATCTTTGCATTACGAAGGAAAATCTTGATAGGGAACTAGGTCGCATTGGGAAAGATCTCCAAAAGAATCTATTACATCAGCTTTCTGGAGTAACAGAAAGCTGGTGTAATAGATTAGACTAGAAGACAACAAGAGCCTCAAAAGACTCGGGAAAAATGAGACGAAGTGGGTGGTATAAGTACAATATTAGTATGCTTCTGATACTGGTACACCATCCGTAGTGAACCTCACAGAAACCAAGCCATCAAAAGTAGGCCAACTTCAAGAGATCGCGTTCATCGAATACAATTTATGAAACCAAGACGGCATTGTATGTCCGTCTTAGAGACAACAAAAAACCTAGTGCTGGGCAAATTGGGGGTAGCAAAACAGGTTTGGATCTGCTAATGTAACATTAAGAGTACCGAAGCTGAAGTCATTGATAGATAGAAACAGCTTCAAGAATGAATTCGAAGAATCTGCTTACACATTTAACAATGACACAAGACAAGAATAAGTCGGTTGTCACCAAAAGGCCATTCAAGAGATCAACAATCAAAACGTCTTTAATAAGTATGGTTTGGAACCTGTTATTTTTGTTCCCAACATTTTTTTATTTCCATTGTTGGCATGTTACTAACAATTAAATAATGTTATTTTTTGATCGAGGGATTTATCTGCTTATGTCTCTTTGCGTCTGTAACAAATCTGCCTGATAATGAATATTTTCAATGTTGAATTTCTCCATCTGAAACTGGTTGAAGTGATTTCAAGAAATAACTTTTCAGATTCTTCACAATTGATTTGTATGTTTTGCTTTTTCCAGTGAAGCAGCAAATAATTGTTCTATATTGTTTTGTGATCATTGTGATAATTTTTTCTGTATACTTGAAAGTTCAGATCGAAGTTTTGTTAAAATATTTATTTTTTTCCATCATTATTGTTTTCAAACAACATTAATTTTTGCGATATCATTCACCTATTCTGATTATACCTAATTCAAGCATCAATGTTTTTTTATTTTCAGATAAAGCGAAAGTTATTAAAACTCTTTTGCACGTCAAGCGTACTTTGCTTAATAAATCCAGAAGGATCGATAAATGACATACATATATCATCACTCACATGGCTACCCTTCAACATGGTAAGTGTTTTTTTTAGATTTCAGTGTTAACAAAGTAGAACAAAAAAGATACTTCAGTCGATCAGAACAAACATACCGGGTGCCTTGAAGATGAATTCATGTTTACATTAGAAATCTGAAACGGAAAAGCATCCATCGTCAACAAACAGTCATTCCTTAATACTTCAAGATATTTGCCAACACTACAATATCAGATATGGGATTGAGGACAACAAAAATGGATTTGTTTCTGGAGTTTGTGTAAAATCTGAACTGAGAGTGAACGATAAACATACCGACATATTTTAGGAATATTGTTCTATATTCATTCAAATGATGCAATTTCCATGAATTCTTTGAGAGTCAGCTGTAGAACATGAATGGGCGTAGTGGTTCCACTCATAGAATTATCACGGCGGTAAGAAGAAATTAATCAAAGTTGTGGGTGACTCAAGTCGGATAACACTCTGCACAGAAGCTCTTTGAACATATGCTAATAGCTAATTGAAAGCCTTCGTAACTCTTATATATTCTCTTGAATATCCTCCTAACCAGAAGATACGATTTTTCGGTAACATTCAATATAGTATCAGACATGAGTACCTGATGTGCCATAATTCATCCTACTCTTCATTTCTCTCCGTTTTGGACACCCCCATGCATATACTTCTTCGTTACAGAAGACTAGACAAGATTGAGGCAGATTATGAATAGTAGGTATCATCGATGATATAGTAGAATCGTACATTTTTAGGAATCGGTTGAAGTTTCAGAAACTTGAAAGTAGCCTTGAGAGTGGTTTAGTTTTTTGGGCTCTATGAAGCATAATAACGCTTCGGAACGTTTTGAAAATTTTTGAGTAAGTTCAACCACATTTGTCCCGCAATTCCCTCTGCCAAGCCGAATAAGGACTTTCTGATGACCACTAAAAAATCTCATGACCACCGTTGCGTTTTTCATTTGCAATCAGTTCAATATGATGCACAGAATTCATTCTCTTATTCATGGAGTTGTAATTAACAGTTTCAATGCAAATCATCTAAAGGAACAATTCGTTCAGGCCAGTCTCAACTCCCTTCACTGTAGATTAATGGACTGACACCCATCAGAAAACAACTACTTCCCTGGCTAATACCACGAAGGGCGTTGGATTATTTGCGACAGTTGTCAGTGCAGGATTCTTCACTGAAGTTATTCCTGCATATGCTGCTGGCGATACAACTGCCGCACTAGATTTTCAATTATTGGAACAAACTTCCAGACCGGTTTCGGGCTGATTGGCCACTCGTCAGTGCAAGGTAGTGTCTATCATTAACATAAAAAGTTTATTTTTTGCCTCATCATCATCTTTTAACTTTCCCTTGATGTGCTATTGGAGTTGCTTATTATATTATTATTATATTCTAATTTAGCCTTTTTGAATTATTTATACTGAACCTCTAGATATTTATAACGTTCTCTAATGCAATCATTTCGCATAACATTTGACAAGTATTCTATATTTCTGAGTTGAACCATGGCTTTTTGTTATTCTTAAGTATTATTCAGAACGGTAGTGAAAACAAGTATATGCCTCACCTACAATTTTCGAATTAAATATCTTAGACCATTTTTCATTTGATACTAAGTTTGTGAAAATTGTTAAGTTAGATAATTTGATAAAATCCAGAGACGGTACTCTGGGAGATTTTATCATAATTTACTATATCTACATGCTAACATTTGCAAAGTTATGTGTGAGAATTACGAATATTTGTAGAAACAGAAAATGATAATAATAGGGGAGCCCAAGCGGGGATTTCGGGATTTACTGAAGCGCGGCAGATTAATATACAGGGGGATACCTTGTACCCGGTTAAGTACCTCCACCAAATATCATCCCCATATAAAAGGCCGCCCGTGAGGGATAAAGGATCAGATTAGTAAAAAAAAACTGATTCTCAGAAATTCTCGAGCGCGTCAGATTAGTATTATTCCAGATAAGTGTATATTTCAGTAATCTGACAATTCGAGACTGACGTAAAGAAAGGGGAGGGCAGCAAAGTTGTAAAAAAACGTCATCTCGACATTCTCGAGAGTAGCTAATTTTTTTTTATTTTCAAGAAAATAATTCAAGGATATCGAAAAATATATAATCTGACGATTTCCACAAGCCGAAATAGCAAAAATTCGTCTAGAAAGTTTGAAGCGTGCAGCTGCGTGATGCCTATATTTCCCTCTCCGCGTTACTATTCCTTTTTCACTTTTTCTCTATATATTACTCTCTCACTCCGTCTCCACTCTGATTTTTGTTGCCATGACGCCATCACAGCTGATCACAGAGACTCGTTCGTGATGAAGATGAAGATGATAATCAATTAATTGATGGATGTAGCCGTTACTACGTGATAGGAAATCATAATGAAGAAAAGAGAAATGAAACTTTCTATGTTTTTACCACTTTTATTTGTAACTAACATTTTCTATGTTTTTTACCAATTTTATTTGCAAGTAACGTTACTGCAGTTTCGTCCTATGAGGACATTTTCAAACTAGTATTAAACTGGTGGTGAAAAACATAGAAAGTTTCAATTCTCTCCATCCATCCATTTTATGGAATTTAATGATTTAGCACTAGACCTAAAACCTACCTAAGAGTAGAACAGACATTTTAAGCTCACGATTGAAGTAATGAAATTTGCTTGAAGATGATGTAAAAATATCTGATTGAAAAGAGCGGCATGAAATTTTTTTATGTTTTTTCATGACCCAAGCCAGTATTTGTTACTGCAATACTTGATTCGTAACTGATTCGTTCGAAGAAATTAGAATACCATTCGTGCGGTCTGGTTGGCATCGATAGCTCTTCAAAAAGCCTATACTATGTCCTATAAGGACATTTTCAAACTTATATATTGTATAAGAAACTGCAGTAACGTTAGATACAAATAAAAGTGGTAAAAAACATAGAAAGTTTCATTTCTCTTTTCTTCATGAATTAATCAATTGATTATAAAAAATTAAATTTTTTTGAGCGTTTTCTAAAAATATTTTTTCATAAATACAAGTATTCTACTTAAAAAACATACACTTATTTATTTGCATGCTATTTCCTGAGCTTTCAATCTGACGCGCTTGAGTATTTCAAAATGACGATTTTTTTTGCACATTATAATAATGGCCGCGAGTTTGCGTCAGATCGAAATCGTCAGATTATTGAATGAGAGCTTTTTTTGGTGCACTTAACACCCCCTTAGAAAATCTGACGCGGTCGATTACATTTTTTTTCATTTTCAACCCTTACGTACAACCACCCACATTAACGATCAGATTAACATACCAACATTATTGAAAATACGTAAAACATTGATGGTATCAATATCTTGACGCGCTCGAGTATGTCCATGCAACAGTTCTTTTTTACATATTTAATAATCTATAGCAGCCTCCCCCAGCGATGAAAACGTATATATTATATAACATTTTTTTCTTCTTATCATCTAAGTTTTGCAACCTCTCTATGCGTCTCTATGATGCTCGAGTAAATCCCCATTTTGCATCGTGGGCTCCCCTGCTATAAAATGATCCTAACAACTTTATTTTATAATCACATTTCCAAGATTTGAGTGAAATAAGAAAACCAGTTTATGTCCATTTTGATCAGATGAAAAGAACTAGTGAATTTGATCGTTGTTGAAATATCTAAAAGCTGCTTGGCTTTCCAACTGTCGCATCATATTTATGCATTGAGTGAAAAGAAATTTAACTTTGTCTGGTCAATTCTGCGAATTCTATCCCTATATGTGCTAATAATTTTTCAGTAATGTTTTACAACCACCCATGCCTGATTACCAATAGTATTATTATGTGAAACCAGATTTCTACTCAAAGAGAAACAAAGCACTTTCCCAAGATTTTACTCAGAACTCGGAAAAGAGAACGTTCAATCTAATTTGTTTCAATCACATGCTGCGGAGAGTATTCCGAGAGGTGCAAAATAAATAGCAAACAAAACCATAATCCGTTCAAACTGTGCTCCAGTCTGTGGAAAATTAAATTTTGTCGTCGTCTGGAAAAAGTGAATCGAGTGAAGAGACGTGGTGTATCGCTTTTCTTCGATAATGTGGCGTATGCGCCGCGTTCGTTTTATTTTTCGAGATTCATTTCCTCAAAGAGATAAATGTTCTGAACTCGAACATTTGAAGACTGATAAGGTTTGATACAATTTATTATGATGAAACTTCCTGAAGTAATAAAGTGTCTCCAGCACTGCGGTGAAATTGATTTGAGTCTTTTGAGAGATGTTCCTCCTCAGAATTTGTATGTTCAATGTTTTTTTGTTGATATTCATTAGAATGTTGCATCAACAATTTTGCATATTATTCTGTCGACCGCACACTGAACACCGAGTCATGCGAAGAGAGCCAAGAGATAGTTTGTCCGAGATACAGCTGGCGCTGTGTGTTAGAGTGAGGAGAAAGCGAAGCCAGACATACTGGCACCGTTATGCGTTACGTTACCAAGCGGTTTATGTTCCCATAAGAAGTTTTCACTTCAAAATTTTGTGGTTAAGGGAAAGTGGGGTGCTTTCGAAACAAGGCAGGAAAAAATTGAATACATACTTATGAATTCTTTAGAAATATGTGTAGATCATGAACAGTCCTTGGCAGATAAAGATTAGAAGAAAAAATCGACACGAAACAATACTTTCAAATACGAATACTGAGATACTCGAAAATAACTTTTTGTTATCCAGTTTCAACTTTATACGTTTGTGATGAAATTAAAACAGATATGAACGCTGGACATCGTAATTTATGAGTATTTGTATTGATTTCATATTCAAGCAACAAGGATTACATAACCGCAACACATTAGGTTCTTCAGGCATGTTCATACTAACTTAATTCTACCTCCGTAGTGCTTTATATCAGTTGAAAATTATAATAATGTGACTTTGTACCTGATTCATGAGTATAAATTGATTACCAATTCGAAGATTAGGAAATAAATTTTACAAACAAACTATTTGAATGGACATG